CCAACCGAGTATCGCGCTTGCAATACCAGAGGCCAACTAAGGTGGCGCGCGAAGGTGGCTTTTGCTGGCAGTTATATTAAAATTTTTAGTATGATTTCATTATTTACTACGCTGCGGACTAATATCCATTACATATATACAGATATTACTCATATGAAATATTACTACAATTTCGCGTTTTGAAACTGGCGCAAGTATCGCATTACCATGCCTGTGGTTCTTGTAGTTAGCACAGCAGCCAATTAAGTTATGGACGGGTGTACAATGGGGATTTCACACAGTTAAAAACTTTTCATATTTGTTCACTAAATCTTGATTAATTAACAATTGAACTTTATAGTGATTTTGGTCATATTTTTATGTAGCAAATTGTTGCTCCCCAAAGCTGTCTTTGAATAAAATAAAATTTAAAAAATTTAATAAAGTAAAAAAAAAAATAAATTAAAAATAAAAAATAAAGGACATATAGTAAATAAAATAAAACGAAATATGATAAAATAAGGGAAAAAATCAAAACTAAAAATAAAATAAAAATTATAAACAAAAAAAATAAAAAGAAAATATAACATAAATAAAATTACACCAATATATTAAAAAGGAAACTAAAATAAAATTTTAACACAAGAAAACAACATTAATTAAAACAAAAATAAATTAAAATAAAATAATTACAATAAAATAAAACAAATTTAATAAAATAAAACTAAATAAATCAAAACAAATGAAATAAAATAAGTTAGTATAAGCTATAAATTGAAGCAATAATTCCATAAAAAAATGAATTAAATAAAACAAAATAAAATTAAAAGGGTAACAAAAATAAAATAAAATAAAAACTAACAAAATATTATAAAATAAAATAATATAAATAAATAAAATATAATGAAATAATATAATAGAATAATATAAAAATAAAATGAAACAAAACAAAATAAAATAAAATAAAATAAAATGAAATAAATTAAAATAAAATAAAATAAAATAAAATAAAATAAAATAAAATAAAATAAAATAAAATAAAATAAAATAAAATAAAATAAAATAAAATAAAATAATATTAAATAAAACAATAAGAAAAAATAAAGTATAATTAAATCACATAAACTAAGATAAAATATAACCAATAAAAACAAAATTAAACAAAGTACGATAAATCGAAATAAAATAAAGTATTACAAAATTAATTAAATTAAATAAAACAGAAAAAAAAATAAAACAAAATTAAATTAAACCAAGCAAAATGACATAAAAAACGTAAAGAATAAATAATTTAATTATATTGAATCAAAAGGAATACAACAAAAAATAAATTGAAATAAAAGAGAATAAAAAAAAAATAATTTCAATCATAAAAAATAAAATAAAAAAATTTAAAGAATAAAAACTTAAACTAAATTGAATTAAATCAAATACAATAAAGAAAAATTCAATACAAGAAAATAAATTAAAAAAATTAATGAAATTAAATAAAATAAAATTTAAAATTACTACTAATAAAGCCAAATTAGTCCAATAACTGTGAAACGATTTGAATGACACCATAGGCTTCTGGGAAATAATTAAATGCCACATTTGTATAAAATAAACTAAAAAAGCGAGGTTACGTTAAAAATTTTTGAAATCTTTATCTTTAAGCATATTCGCAAAAATTTTAAAATAATATTTTTTTTCGAAATCCACATTCAATTTTAAATGGACTTATGAGAACTTCAAAGAAACGCCAGTCAGATTTCATTTAATTGTTTTTATTACACAATTTTTTAACCTTTATGTTCTTACAATTTAAAATATAACATCTTTTTAAACGAATTCGCTTTTATAAATTTATTTTTTATTTACCATAACAATTCATTAGTTGAGGAAAATAAGCTTACAAAATTGTTTAATTGCGTCATAACTTAGCCGATACGTGATAAAATTGGTTACAAAAAAACTAAATTAGTTTATTTTATATATTTTTTTATTCTTAGTGGTTCGGTCTTTTAGCTCTAATTTAATAAAATCTTTTATGAAGTCATATTAAAATTAAAAATAATTAAAAATTAACTAATTTTTAAAGCGTGCAAAAATGTTTGTTAATTTTTCCTTTAAGAATTTTTTTTGTTTTCTTTTGTAAAAACCTTTTTTTGTCAAACTACGCTCACTCTTTATCTCTTTTCACTTTTTCTCTCAGGGCAAGCAAGCAATTTTGAAAGGCATGTCAAACGTTTGTGTCAACATTTAATCTGATGAGCTTTAGCAACTTCTTTTTTATCAAATTTAATTTTATATTATTTTATTTATTTTTATTTTTTTTTTTTGAACCCAGAATTGTCTGCGGACAGCGCAGCAAAGAAAACAAATTAAAAAAAAAATTAAATATAAAAAACTTTTCGCAGAAAATTATGGAACAGCCAACCAACAAGTGACAGCCGAAAATCAAAGCACCAGCAACCAACAGCCAACAGCTGCCACATAAAAACCATCAACATCAACAACTATAACCAACAAAAAATGGGGGAAAAGAGCTCAACCAATGCACAGTTTACAAGCTACTTAAGTTTAACAAACATTTGAGAGCAAAAAAAAAAAAAAAAAAAAACAAACAAGAAACGCTCACCAATAACACAGACATGAGCCTGCAACTGCTGTTGAAAAGCAAACACTTTTTGGTGAAACACTTTTTAAGCCAAATTACAAGCAACATTACCAGCAACATACCAGCGCATAAAACATAACATGCAACCGAAATCACAGCAGCAGCAACAACTATAACAACAACAACAACAATAAGAGCAGCAGCACAACAATGATAGCAAGTGCTGTGTAATGTTACAAAAAAGTGATGCTAATCTTTGACAACTGACGACGGAGTTAACATAACAACGCGCATGTCACAGGTTGTTTGCTCTGTGAGCTGTCAGTACTGAAAAACAAATAAACGAAAAAAAAAAAAACAAAACAAAAAAATTAGAAATGTATAAGGCTCACAAAAACAAGTAAAAATCAAGAAATTTACGAAAATGCTTTAAATAGTTAAGGCAAATAAGAAACATCAGTGGACGCTACAACATTAGCGAAGGCACGAAATTGCAACAACTGCTTGCAACTTACGAGCAGGTTGTACACCCGCACGCGTTGGCGTCCACATTTTCGATTAATTTTTCGTTATGCGCAAAAATGTATTGAAACCAGGAAAATTAGGGTTACAGTTTTCATGCAAAATATAGGAAAAATAAAAGATAGATCCCTATGCTGCTCAGAACGTAAGCCTTTTTCGTTGATCTTCGCGTTTGGTCTCACAAGTAGGCAAGGCGGCAACTCTAGCAAAAATAAATTCTATATTGAAAAAAATATCAAATATAAAAATATATTTTTTTTTTTTAATTCAATTAATTTGTATTTCATGTGGACTTTCAAGTGACAGCCTTTATTGGCTCCCAATGTTGCTGGTGTATTTTCTCTGAAATCACTTGTTGTTAACGTGCTTATACCTCCGAAGTAGCGCCAGAACAGCGTTAGGTTAGTTAAAGCGGGAAATACAGTTGAATCAAAGCCCGCCAATAAGAATAGATGAATAAAATAAAATAAAATTAAATAAAATAAAATAAAATGAAAAAAAAATAAAATAAAATAAAATAAAATAAAATAAAATAAAATAAAATAAAATAAAATTAAATAAAATAAAATAAAATAAAATAAAATAAAATAAAATAAAATAAAATAAAATAAAATTAAATAAAATAAAATAAAATAAAATAAAATAAAATAAAATAAAATAAAATAAAATAAAATAAAATAAAATAAAATAAAATAAAATAAAATAAAATAAAATAAAATAAAATAAAATAAAATAAAATAAAATAAAATAAAATAAAATAAAATAAAATAAAATAAAATAAAATAAAATAAAATAAAATAAAATAAAATAAAATAAAATAAAATAAAATAAAATAAAATAAAATAAAATAAAATAAAATAAAATAAAATAAAATAAAATAAAATAAAATAAAATAAAATAAAATAAAATAAAATAAAATAAAATAAAATAAAATAAAATAAAATAAAATAAAATAAAATAAAATAAAATAAAATAAAATAAAATAAAATAAAATAAAATAAAATAAAATAAAATAAAATAAAATAAAATAAAATAAAATAAAATAAAATAAAATAAAATAAAATAAAATAAAATAAAATAAAATAAAATAAAATAAAATAAAATAAAATAAAATAAAATAAAATAAAATAAAATAAAATAAAATAAAATAAAATAAAATAAAATGAAATAAAATAAAATAAAATAAAATAAAATAAAATGAAATGAAACAAAGTAAAATTGAATTAAAACAAATACAATAAAAGAAAATTCAATACTGGAAAATCAATACATTAAAAATATTAATAAAATAAATTAAAATAAAACTTTAAATTACAGTAAAATCAAATTTTTCCAATATCTGTACAAGGGGACTAAAAAAAGATGCATTTAGATTTCTTAAAATGAGAATTTACTCCAAAAAACTTTCAAATTTTAGTTTTAAAGCACATAAAAATTCGGGCACAACTTCGAAAGTTTTTTATTTGCCCCACCAACTTTCGATAGCCCTGATGATGCTTGTGTTCTATTAGAAATAGCGCACCATACCCCAAAAGGCTGAAACTGTTGTCATTTCTACCATTTTAATTTATTATATAACAAAAATAATCTATTCATTCAAAAGAACGCGGCCTTTTGGTCACCCAAAACTTATAACAAAATTCGATTTATTTGTCCAAAAATCAATAAAAATATATTGATTTAAAATTTAAAGAATAAAATGAGGAGTTTAGTCGAATACTGTACTAATGAGAGCAACGAAACATTAAAATTATATTTTATTTTTTCAAAATGTACTTCAGATGCTGCCACGATTTACTTTAATTATTATTATTTTTTCAATAACAAAGTTTAGTGCACAAATATTTATTGTCTTTATGATATATAATTCAATCAGATAGCATCATATAACCTTACTCACCATCGAATGCCCCAAATATTCAGCTGCATTGTCGGAAATGTACAGCAACTTGCCGTTCTGTGTGAGCATCATAAGGAATCCTGAGAGCGCCTGAAAGAAAGTCGAAGCAAAATTGCGCAAAATATTAAATTAAATGCATTTAAATTTAAATAAAAATCTTTATATTATATATAAGTGCGGATTAACAAAAATTTCGTAAGTTGACCAGAAAAACCATTTCTTTCTGTATTAACTCGTACTATTGCCTCTATTATCTTCTCTACATAATCGTAATTTATTTCAATGCCTTTTTTAAACCCTTTAGATCCATTTCTGAAAACAGTCTCCAAAATCTTGCTTTTTTCGCTTATCAAGTTCAGCATTAACCGCATTAATTATCTGCTCGTTGCTGTTAAAGACTTTTCCTTTTAAAATTTTGTAATTTTTGGAATTAACCAGAAATCACAAAGTGCTATATCCGGGGAATATGGTGCTGGGCGTATTTCTTCGATCCCAGAGATCGCAATAAAATTACTCGTTATTTTAGCGGAGTGAGAAGGCGAGTTTTCTTGATGTGAGAAGGGGCGCCGCAAATCCACTTTTTTCCTGTTTTCCAACAAATTTTTGAAAACTTTCGGTTATCACTTTTCGGTGTGCCGTTTCTCAGTCACCGTCTAACCCTTTTCCAGTGGAGTAGCAGCTACGATTTTACGATTTTAGATCGGGTAAAGTAAACTGACATCATTACTTTTGCTGATGATTTTTATTGCGTAGATTTTTGGGGTGGGCTTGCTGCTGTTGGGCTCCAAATCACGGACGGGGGTTGGGTTTCTGGATTGTACTTATAGAACCAAAATTCGTCACCAGTAACAACTTTACTAAAGTTGCTAGACCGAATATTTTCAAGTTTTTTATAGGAAAAAATGAGCAAAATACACTCGAGCCTCTTCTTGGGTCTCATTTGAAATTCGTGGTACACAACGAGTAGATTACTTCAGGTATTAGTATGTATAGTATCAGATATTTACTTTATATTTGTGATAGTCATGGCGTTCAGGAGCAGAGCTGGTCCACCTTCTTGTGGGACGCCCTCTATGGAAAAATGATTGGTCTAGAATCTTCGGAACTACTTCGAAATGGTGTTCAAAAACGGTGCAATTACGCCGAAACCCGAAGAGAATCACATGGCGAATTTCTGTTGGCGTTGATGGTGGAAGTTTGTCAGACCAAACCTCAGCTTTCTTGCGTTTTCTCGTCTCCATTTCAGCTGATCATTTGCAAATTTTAAAGATAGACCAAAAAAGTAATTTCAAAGGATTTGGTATTTTTAGATTTAACAAAAACAAATTGAAAGTCACCAACTGAGCAAACTTTTCATAAATCTAAAGTTCGATTGTAAAGAACAGCAAATCTCCATAAATTTCCCACTGACTGACTTGAATTTATGTCAATTTGTTTCAATGGTTCAAGGGAGTGTTTATACAAAAAATTATACTTTGCTGACGGCAAAGGCATCATCGAAAGATAGACAAAAGTCGGTATGATTTGCAAACAAACAGAGATCGTGCGCTGTGACCATTGCAACTCCACGTCGCATTAATCAGCCAAAACTCAGCAGCGGCAGGCAAAAATTACAGTCGAACGCAATAACTCTGACCGGACCTCATCCTCATTCCTTCAAAAAATCTATCTTTTCGTCCGATACACCTTTCCCTTCCAGCGATTACAGTTCCCTGTTCGACTACCAACTAAGCTCGAGGCCTATCTAGGGAGCTGTAAGTTCTACTTTTAGATAAGAACTGCTTGGCATATTAAAATAATTGTTTGTGGCATGTTCTAGCGTTGGCAAATCAGATAACCAACTTCTTTGCGTGGCCGATGGGAAAATCAAAAATTTTTGACTACCCGCAGATAAATAAAATTATAATCAAAAGAGCTCTAATGTTTCACTTCTCTTACGTTCGATGAGTTTGTGCCACAGCGAAGGTTTGCGGGGCACAGCTGGTATAAATATACGCAAATAAAAAATAAGCATTTGGGTAGCTACCCTCGTATTGCAGTGAAACATGACTCATAATGCATAATCTCTCAAAAAGTGTCAAAATTTATGTCGCATCAAAACAACCAATAACTCAAATCCGCTCACTCTGTCACTCACTTGAAGCGCTAATGAGATTAATGGGTGAGAATTGTGAGAACAGAAGCGAAAAACAGAGTTTTGCATGCAAATTCCTTTAGGTATCTTGTACGAATATGTGGGAAAAATACTTTTGAAAACTACTAAAGTAGAAATTTCAAAAACAAAAAGTGAAAATAAATTTAAAAATAATTTAAATACCAAAGACAAGAAGAATTGTGAGACTTCAATACTTTGCTACTTAAAAGCTTATGAAAACCAAATTACCTGTACTTAAGTATGTGTGTGTGTGTGTGTGTGTGTGTGGAAAGCCAAGTGTTGTTTTGGCATACAAATTGCAAGTGTCACAAAAGCACCTGAGCACAAAGTAACTTATTTAACCGAAAATATTTTTAGCAATTTTTCCTTGAACAGCTTTAGTTTAAAGAACGGTAGTTACTGGCTACTGGCTACTGGCTTGTGTTTGCCAGCGAGCGCAAATATCTGCTTAATTCAGTCACGATTATAGATCAATCTTTCACTCTCAAAAAAAAAAAAATGAAAAAAATAGACTAACAAAGCCAAAAGCAAAGCGTCAGTGTCAAGTGCGCCAGACAAGTAGAAGAAAAAACGAAAAACAACAACAAAAGCAAACACTCTAATAACAGTGTCTAAGCACATTCAAATACCGAGATCGAAATAAATACAGAGGGAAAACGAAAATAAATGGAAAATGTATAACTATGTATATACACAGATGTAAATTAAAGCAAGAAAAAAAATTGAGAGTCCGTAAGGTAGCACGAAATGCAGGCGGCACCAATTATTACCTATCACGTGGGTTGTTACAGCTGTAAGAAATGTTGGAGGTACACACAATAAACACAGTTGACCAAATTAGCTTATATCATCACTTTGATTACCTCCACAACGCAACCACATTGAGTTTATGTACGCTGCATAGAGGAGTAGCGTGTGCAGACAAGCTTCTAGAAACATGGGCAGCAACCAACAAGTGTGTAGTGTAAGGCCACGGCTAAAAGAGAGGAAGCAGGAGACTTCAGTAGAGTTCCTTCGGAATTTTTATGTGCACCAGAGGTTCGCTATCGAGTCGCTTAATGTTCAAACCGCCGCGTGGGAACTAGCTGAAATGATTAAAAGTCAACAGACAGGAATGGGAACGAATGCTGTAAACTAGAGCGTGGAGCATGCACTGAAAATATCCGCTACTCTAACTGGGAAGCTACCGCTACCCATTTTTGACATTGCACGCTCAAGAATTCCGATGAACCGGACGAGTACGAGGACAGAATTGAGTGGCACTTTGTGACATGTACCACCAAGATTACTTTATTGTTTCACCTCGTATGTATTGCGCTCTCTGTGACTGCAGAAATTATTTTCTGACAAGATCTTCCTGCTATTTGTAGCATGCAACCTGATTTTTTCGCAACAAATTGAAGGATATACAGTTTATTCTTCTCACCTCATCACATCACCTCTAAACAACCGATGAGTTTTTCAAGAGGAGTTTCGATTTTCATCTCAGAAATATACTGGGAAGGATTTACATTCCATGCGGAGGTGACTGTTGGTCGGATGATAGCTTGAATACTGGCCTTTAGAATGTTGGTATGCAATGCTCTAGCTACTCAGCTACAACAGCCCCAGAGAGGAGGGGAAATTTTGTGCCAGATTCCGGGTAAGAGGACAGACTCAGTAGAGAGAGCCCTGTCATTCACTCTAGTAATTAAACGGCTCATCACAATTTGAGCGCATGGAGCGTGCTAATGAGCCCTTCCAAGGCAACTGTGGGATGATATTTCAAGCTTTCTTCCTACAGCTGGAAGCAAAAATATTGCTTTTCGAAAAACATAAAAAAGAGTTTTCCATGAGGATGAGTAAAATACTACCTATCTACATTGTGGTCGACCTCTACCGAGCGATGAAGACCAAAGCCGAAATACGTGGGTACTGTGTGAAAGTCTAAAGCCCACCGTAAACAAACTGCCCAATCCACGGCCACTCAGCGCGCCAAATACTGCACTTCCAAATACCAAAGACCACCGTCAACAAACTTATTGGAACTCATAAGAAGGGGTTTTGAGTTCTCGATTTAGTACTCGTCGATAGAAACAGAAGAAAACGAAGGCCTTCACTCTCTTTTAGAGATCGAGTGGAGAAGTGTATTATCTTCAATTACAGAAAATAGAAGTAAAGGACTGCCCAAGCGTTGTTAGCTGGGCTAAAAACCCGGAGGTGCTATCTACACCAGTTAATAAGAGGAATAATTTTAAGTGTGATGAGAATATTTGTCAGTCTAAATATTCGTGTACATCTTTAGTCGTTAATTTTTTATACCGTTAGAGTAGAATCTAAATAGACCCCTGCACACCTCACCGTTGGGTACAAACATAGCAAGCTCTAACCAAAATGCCATTAGAGCTAGACTCTGAGAATTATAGCTGAACATTTTGAGTAAAATAGTAGCTTCAAGCGATGGAATGATATTTTTAGATAAAATATTTAAATGCAATATATATATATGTATTTGTGTTAGTTAGTTCATATGAGGTTTTCTTGCACTTCAACGCCACAATTACAGTAGCAACACGGTAGCCAGCGCTTGAGCCAAGCCTTGCATACTTACATACATATATACATATATACATAGTGGTATGTATTGCCATTCCAACAATTCCGTTTCACTTTACGAGCTCCAGTGATTCCAAAGCCGCTTTGGCCAACTCACCTCGACACAGAGAGACACAATAATTTTGTTGATTTGGATTTTCATTTCGAATTCCTTGGAACTCTGCATATTTTTACTAGCTAAGCTAGGAAGAAACCGAGCTTCAACAGCTACCGCTGAGCCATGTGTCTTGCAACTGAAAAAGAAAAATATATACACACATACATACGTACATAGCACACAAAGGTAAGCCACATTGACAATGTTCTCCTCCATTGGCTGGTGACCATTTTGCGCGATAAC